CAGCCTCCATGGGATGGAAGTTCCTTGAGGGCCAGGGCAGCACCCAAATTTACTGCATTCTTTATCCTGGGGGGAGGGTGTGGGAGTGCTCAAGCTTTTCCTAAAAATAAATGACCTCTAACCCAGAGGGCAGCCACCTCTCAGCACTCAAGGCCAGGGGAGATATGCTTCCTCTGCTGTGGCTTTGTGCACCAATCAGAATGCTCAGAGTCAAACTCCATGCCTCTGATTTCAGTGTCATCCTCCTGCTACTGCTACTGCCTCCAGAGGAGGAGTCAAGAGATGATGGACAGGCTAGCTCCTGTCCTGAGACCCTGTGGCTATAGGGATGCCTGGATCTGTAACTACAGTTCCAGGGGAAATCTGATGCCCTCTTCTGACCTCCACAGGCATTGCATGTACACAGTATATAGACATATACATACAAGCAAAACACCATACATATAAAATAAGAATGAACAAATGCTGTCTCTTTGGGCTGCTGTGACTGGCACAAGGGACCAAGGAGGAGCATCTTATGGTATGGATCAGAAGGATTTCAGATGCCATTGGTCTAAATCTCTGAGAGAGAAGTTGGAGGCAGAACCCCTCACCTACACAGCAGGTCTGATCTTGTCACCTCTGCCATGTCAAGGAACCCTGCAATGTCTCTTGGACATACTTCCATTAGCAACAGTGATGTACCCATGGATTTACTTTGCCTCTGTAGACCCATATGGGAACTGTAGCTCAGCCCACACTTGAGATAGGTGCCCTGGTCCCAAATGTCCTCCAAGAGTCAATGAGAAGTAAGCTAGTAGTTCACCCCATGAGACAAGGACAGCTGTGGCCACAGCATCAGCAGCTCCCATAGTCGGTGCCCACTGGGAGAAGCTTACTGCACTGCAGGGTTTGCTTTCAGCAGCTGCAAGCCTAGACATGCCTGGTGTCTAGCACTAGGTGTCACCTAGTGTGACTGCACAGGCCATCCCTATCTGGAGGATTTTTTTTTCTTTCGAGACAGGGTTTCTCTGTGTAGCCTTGGCTGTCCTGAAACATCGTTTGTAGACCAGGCTAGCCTCCAACTCCCAGAGATCCCAGAGATCCGCCTGCCTTTGCTGGGACTAACGGTGTGCACCACCACTGCCCAGCTATCTGGAGAATGTTCAGCTTCTGAAACACATTGACCTATATCCATTTGATTCCTGGAACTTTCTGTAAGAATATCACATATGGGGACACACACACACACACACACACACACACACACACACTTGGTCCTCCCTTAGCTTCTTTTTTTTTTTTTTTTTTTCGAGACAGGGCTTCTCTGTGGCTTTGGAGGCTGTCCTGGAACTCACTTTGTAGACCAGGCTGGCCTCGAACTCACAGAGATCCACCTGCCTCTGCCTCCCGAGTGCTGGGATTAAAGGCGTGCGACACCAAACGCCCGGCTCTCCCTTAGGCTCTTGAGTGAAGAGATTATAAGTGCACACCACCAGGAGTAGCATAAAAGTCACACTCTTTGGTTTTTAGTTTAGTTGTTTTTTTCTTCTATTTTTGAGGCATATTCTCATGTATCTCAGGCTAGCCAAGAGCTCACTGTGTGGCCTGAGGATGACTTAAACTCCTGATCCTCCTACCTCCTTCCAGGTGCTGGGATTATAGGCATGCTCCATCTGGTGCATCCTTTCTTTTTTGAGACAGTCTCATTATGTAGATCAAGTCTGCTTGGAACATACTACGCAGCATGGGCTGGAATTCCGTCCTCCTGCCTCTGCCTCTCAGATGCTGTAATTTTAGGTCATGCCACCCAGTTAGATATTGTATTTAGTTAAAAATTAGCTAAAATAGGGGCTGGAGAGATGACTCACAGGTTAAGAGCATGGGCTGCTCTTCCTGAGTTCAATTCCCAGCAACCACATGGTGGCTCACCACCATCTATAATGAGATCTGGTGCCCTCTTCTGGTCTGCAGGCATACCCTGTATACATAATATATAAATAAATCTTTTAAAAAATTAGCAAGAGGCTGGGTGTTGGTGGCACACACCTTTAATCCCAGCACTCAGGAGGCAGAGGCAGCTGGATTTCTGTGAGTTTGAGGCCAGCTTCGTCTACAGAGTGAGTTCCAGGACAGCCTACAAAACAATACAGAGAAACCCTGTCTCGAAAAACCAAAAAAAAAAAAAAAAAAAAAAAAAAAAAGCAAGAGCAAGCTGGATGTGGTGGAACATAGCTTTAGTCTCAACACTTGGCAGGCAGGGCCAGGTAATTTCTGAGTTTGAGATCAGCCTACATATTTTCTACATAATGAGTTCCAGACCAGCCAAGATTACATGGTGAGACCCTGCCTTAAATAAAATAAATAAATAAATAAATAAATAAAAGAGCAAATCAACTTCCCTGCTTTCCCTCCAGAGCCCTCTCATCCTTACTACCAACCGTGTCCTCAGTGGCCCAGCTCACCTCCCTCGGCATCCTGGGGTCCTTTACACAGTCAGACTGGACCGCAGGGCAGGGACACACGCTCTCTCCTCTGCCAGAAACTCACCCCATGACTCCCACATTTCTTTAGTTCCTCGTCTTGTCACTTCCTCAGGAGTGCTCTCCCCGTGTGTCAGGGACTTTGCCTCTGCAGCCTGCTGACGAGAGGCTGCACAGCCTGCCCCGTCTCAGAGAACTATTCTAGGAAGCCCACGGCCATTCTTCACACCTCTTTCCTTCAGAGGCTAATAATGGCAGTGTCTGAGAGCGCTAAGGGCAGGTGACAGAGCTGAGGCCAGCTGACCCAGACAAGTTCAGGCTGGGCTGGGGAGGTGGGGGGGCGCTGAATACAGCTGGGGGAGGGGCCTCCTGATCCACAGCTGGGTTCTGAGTCACCAGCAAGTCCCCAACCTACCCAGTCCTGGCTTCCGCAGGCTGCCAAACTAAACCACTCTGGCTAATGACCTCTGGTTTATTCTCACTTCACCTCACAAGAACCATGTGACTTATTGAGTATTTATTCTAGGTCATCTATTGGGAACTTGTACTATGTCATTTATCACTACATGATAGGCCCGGCTGGGCCATGTTTTTTATGTAAGTTGCCTGTTTGTCTGCTTGTTTTAAGGTGGAGTTACAACCACTTGTATCAGAAACCCAAGAACATAGAATGTGGAGGTCAAGGCTCCAAGCCAGATCTACTGGGTTGACCCAGGAACCTGCATTTTTATTGTACATGTTGTGGGTTCAGTGAGGTCAGAGAACCATTGCTTATTGACAGAGACGGACAAGGAAATAATGACAGTGTAATGTAGCCAGAGATGAGGTAGGCAAAGGGGGTTCAACCGTAAGAGCACTGGAGGCCCCTCTGGGTTTTGTTTTGCTTTTTTGAGGCAGCCCAGAGTGGGGTTGAACTCACAGAGATCCTCTTGCTTCTGTGGAGGTCCCTCTCTTAACCTTGGGGACCGGTAAGTACGAACTGACAGATAAGTAAGAGTAGGGGCCAGGAAATGGGGCCGGGATGCGTGTGCCCATTCCAAGCAGAGGAACGGCATAGGAAAGAGTTGGAGACAGACTACCTGGCCTAGGCTGTGGGTGGGAGGTGTGGCTGTTTCCTCAAGAATGTTTTAGGGAAACAAAAGGTAGACGGAACATCTGGACGTGTTGAAAATGTTCCCAGGTCGCCTCACCACATAGCGTTATTTATTTATTTATTTATTTATTTATTTGGTTTTTCGAGGCAGGGTTTCTCTGTATTGTTTTGGAGGTATTTATTTATTTATTTATTTTTGTTTTTTTTCGAGACAGGGTTTCTCTGTGGCTTTGGAGGCTGTCCTGGAACTCTCTTGGTAGTCCAGGCTGGTCTTGAACTTACAGAGATCCGCCTGCCTCTGCCTCCCGAGTGCTGGGATTAAAGGCGTGCGCCACCAACGCCCGGCTACCACATAACGTTATTGATGGAACCAGTAGCATTCCATCTAAGATGCCTAGTATGTGCTCCGTCTCCGGAGTTAGGGCGCATAATCTTCTGACCAAAAGGCCCCTTTGCAGAACTGTGACTCCTGTATGTCAATAAACGGCAGAAAAAATAATTCGCGCTACGTCTTTGGCTTCAGTTTACGTGTATGGACAGGAAGCCAGAACCTGAAAGGGTGAGGCAAAAGCGATGCTAGGATAAGCCTGGGCTTCATAGTGACACACTGATTTTGGTTTTCAAACTGAGTGGATTCAGACCCTGTGGTGCCCCGACACTCCCTTTCCACCGCGTTCAGGACTCCTGGAAGCCTTTGCTCTGGGAGCAGGTGCCAGCCGAACCAAAGCTCCCACCAAAGTACAACACGCCCCCCGAGACAGCGCCTGATTGGTTCCTCCTGCCCACACTCCGAACCAGGCTGACCTTTTGATTGGCTGTTCTGCACTCAGTCCTGCGATGGAAGCCTCCGTTCTCCTGATTGGCTAGACAACTACCTGCGCTCGCCCGGGATTGGGCGCTGGCAGAGCTGCGAGGGTCCCCGCTCTCTGATTCGCCGCGCGGGCCAGCCTCACGGCCCGCACACTGAATGGCTGCGCCACTACCTGCGATCGGCCTCGGATTGGGTGCGTGGCGCCTCCCCGGCGTGATAGGTCAGGACCACCGCCCCCCTTGCTCCCCATTGGTTGCTCGACGAAGCCCGGTCTCCGGGTAAGATGGCAGCGGACGGACAGTGCTCGCTCCCCGCTTCATGGCGGCCGGTGACCCTCACCCACGTCGAGTACCCTGCAGGTAAGAGGCGGCCCCGGTCCCGAGGACGTTCTCCGGGAGCCGGCGCCTCAGCCTCGGGCGCTCCAGGCCGCGTGGGCCGGCGTGGGGGCGCCGGAGCACCGCGGTGGGAACTGTCAAACAGCGAGCCATGGAGGGGCTCGGCCGGCGCGCGCGCCGCGCAGGCGCAGTGGGGCGGCGATGAGCTGGGCGAAATTGTGAGCCGCTCGCCAGTGTATTCTGCGGCTGCGCGGCCGAGTCGCTCTCCGGGGTCTCGGGGTCCCAGTGGGCTGTCCTGGGCCCGAGGTTTGGGTGGGGCGGGCAAGGATCTGGTCCTGGACCTTGTCCCTTGTGCCCCGCCCTCCCCTGAGCCAGAGAGGCCGCTCTCCTGCCGGGGCGTGCAGGGAGTGCCAGTTTCCTTCACTACGCTGCGGGCTGCTTGCTAGAGAAAGCTCTCTGTTGCAGGCAGTGTACAAGTCCAGGCCAGGTTGAGGAGGATTTGCAGCGCCACGCCCTGAGCAGTGGGACAGAGGCTAGCCGCCAGGGGGGCACGGAGCCCCCGGGAGCTTGACTTGTAAGAGCTTCCATCCGACACGCCTCTGGGAGTGCCCGCCTCTCTGGTGGGAAGGTCCATTAGCCATGGTTCTGAAGTTCCGGCTCGGCTCTGTGGAGTGGTGCGGAGCTTAGGCCTTGGGGTGAGACATTTCCGGGCTCCAGGGGAGGCACCGTCACTCCGGGCGCTTCATCTTTCTAAGTGGCTCTAAGAACAGTGTCTCCTTTCTGGAATGGTGTGTGAATCAAAGGACCACAGGCCTGAGAGGTGCCGGGCACAGGGCCTAGCCCACAGGGAACACCCAGCAAATACCTGCAGTTTATATCTCTACTGATAGATGTTTGTTGCTGAGCAGCTGCTGGGGGCCCCTTGCTGACCTCTGGTTGTCCAGGAAGGGAGAAGTCGGTTCTGCTGAGAGCGCAGGGCCGCAGGCAGGGAGAACTTTGGCTCTGGGTATTCTGGGTTATACTCAAGGCTGTGGCAGCCCTACCCAGCATCGGCCCCTATCCAAGTGCCCATTCGCCACCCACCCATCCACTCATTCATTCATTCTGCATCCCCTTAGCATCCCCAGCGCTAGGCCTTGAGCCGGCTCTGGGTTTGAAATGGTGACGTCCCTGTACTCTTGCTCTGTGGAAAGTCTCTGCTCCGGAGGAGGGAGAGCAGGCCTGGAGAGGGGGAGAGACTTGACTCGGGCCTCCACATCTTCCTGCCTTTCCCTTCCTGACTTTAGAGTAGCTTCTTGGAGGGCTCATGACCTTACAGGGCACCTGCCTCTGGGAACACCATGACATATACAGACTATGTGTGATGTGGCACCTGGTTGAGCCTGAGGCCATCTGGTAAAATCCAGTCCCCTGATACTCTTCTGGAACCCCTGCACTACAAATCCCTCAGTATACTGAACATGTTCCTTTTATCTGTTTAACACGGTGTCTGGTCCTGTGGAATGTCACACATTGCTCCACTCAGAGGACAGTGGGGTGTAGAGATGTTGTGACTACCCTCAGGGGACCTGAAGTGTAAGAGGGCAAAGAGAGGCACCCACCCCACAGCTACCTAAACTAACTAGTGACTCAGGAACAATGGCCCAGTCACAAGTCTCCCATCTGTCAGGCTCATCTTTGGGATTTGTAGCTTTTGTTTGCTGAGTTCACCTATGTAGCACCCTGGTGGGAGAAGTCACGTGTGCACAGGTGGGGAAATAGGACAGCACAGTGTGTTCAGGGAGTTAGAGTTCCGTTCCCGCAACTGGAGCAGGGGGTGGGAGGGAAGTGGGCCAGGACTGCACAGAGCCTGGTAAGCAGGGCCTAAGGAGACACGTCCCAAGGGCAGGAGAGGGATCGGAGAGAGTTGAGGCCAGAGTCCCTGGAAATATGTACAGGAAAGCCTGAGGGTCTTGGCTTGCAACCTGAGGAATTGGTCAGAGGTTCAGGGGCCCTAGCCATGCCCTGTCCTCATAGCCCAGCAGTTATCAGTTGAGTTGTGAGACAGTCAGAACCTCAGGGCTGGGGAGACATGTTATTTAGTGGGCCCGTGGCAATAACAGCATTTGAACCCGAGTCACTGGCCAACTGTAAGTCAGTTTTCCTGGTTGGATCTGATAAGGTCTATGTGCATCTATCTCTTAAGGCCTGGAATCTGTTCTCTGCCCTCTGTGTGGGCACCTGCCTGATGTGTAAAGCCGGGTTGCTGGTGCGGGCCATTTCCCGTACTGGGTTCACCCAGCCTCTGTGAGCCCCACTGTGGGAGTGTCCTGTGTGCCCGAGGTCATGCTGGGCATTTTACATCGCTCTTCACAGCTGTGGGAAAGATACTACTGACGCTGCCCCACAAGAGAGAGTGTGGTCTAGGGAGGTAATTCTATATCCGTGTTCCTGCAAGCAGCTCATGCTGCGACAGGAAGTGAATGATGGCTTCTGAGTCACCCACCTGTGAACAAGGGACTGTGCCTCTAAGCTTCAGCTGTCTCTCAGAGAGGCCAGTGGTCCTCACTTCTCCCTGCAGGCTTTGGCGGGAGTGGGAAAACCAATGCCTTGCCTGCTAAGTGCTGTGGGTGGCCACTTTTGAGCTGGCCCCGTCAGCGTCTCCAATGTGGCTCTGTATCTGGTGTCTGGACGAGCACAGGCTTCTCCAGAGACGGAGGAGCCCAGACATGTTTTGCACCAGACCTTGGGATTCAGACGCCCCCTCTGGCAGACTTATGGGTACAGTATGTAGACCAGGCCAGAGACTGGGGTTCATCCAGGTCCACCTCTCTCTGATTATGTTACTTGAGCAAGTCCCATAGCCACAAAGAGGGTTTAGTTCCTTCTGTAAGATGGGGACAAAGAGGCATGTTCTTGAAACTCCTGATATGTGGGCTTTTCGTGGATGGTGGCACACCCCTTACAGCTGTGAGGGAGTTGGCACATCACCTGGATGTCCATGGCTATGGCCCTGGGCTCTGGGACCTTCAGAGGACTGACCCCTCTTCTGATGCCCATGACCTGCCTCATGCCGTTCCTCTGTCCATACAGGTGATCTCTCTGGCCATCTCCTTGCCTACCTGAGCCTCAGCCCTATTTTTGTTATTGTTGGTTTTGTGACCCTCATCATATTCAAGCGGGAGCTACACACGGTGAGTTCTGGTCCCACGTTGCCCAGAGCCCTCTCTCAGTCTGCAGTGCCTTACTCTGCAAAGCCTGGAGGTCTCCTTGCTGGGTCCAGATTGTTTACTCATTGGTCTGGACTGTCCAGTCAGAGGCCACGGTCATTGGGTGTTGGCCCAGCTGAGTGCCCATCTTTCCCAGCAGATTTCATTCCTTGGGGGCCTGGCACTGAATGAAGGCGTCAACTGGCTGATCAAACACGTCATCCAGGAGCCTCGGCCCTGTGGAGGTAGGGTTGGGACTTCGAAGACCCAGGGCTTCACCTTGGACATTATGAGGAAGTCCATGTCTTCCCATGATGCCCTGTTTTGTTTCTCCCCCAGGCCCACACACGGCAGTGGGCACTAAGTACGGGATGCCCTCCAGCCATTCCCAGTTTATGTGGTTCTTCTCCGTCTATTCCTTCCTTTTCCTGTATCTGAGGTGAGCCCCGCCCCTGGCCCCCGTGGTAGGTATGCTCTGCTGGAGACTGCTGCAGTAGGCTTTTGGATGGGAGCAATGGTAGTCGGGAGGGTCTTACTCAGGCTGTGGGCTGAGGCTGTCTTATGTACCTCTTTTTCCAGAATGCATCAAACAAATAACGCCAGGTTCTTGGACTTGCTGTGGAGGCATGTGCTTTCCCTAGGGCTCCTCACCGCAGCCTTTCTCGTCTCCTACAGCAGGTATGAAGGGAGGAGGAGCCCCACCCTGCAGCCTGCTCGCCTGAGGTCCTGCTAGGATCTTGGTCTCTTTTGAACAGTCCCTGTGGACCCTGGGCCCAGAGTCTGTATGGTAGGACTGGGACAGGAACTTTTAACAGCCAGGGCTCCAGCTGCCCTTTCTAACACAGCAGGCTAAGCCCAGGAATGTAACGGCAGTTTGTCCCCAGCTTCCTGCCTGGGTGGGGGTGAGGGCGGGTACACCTTTGTGGACAGGCACCAGTTTAGGAGCTGGCCAGGAAGGAGGCAGGTCTGGAGATGGGCTGCTCCAGCGTCCCTGCTGCCTTCTGGAAGTGCCTCTTCTGTGTGTGTCTTCACATCTGCACACACAGAGTCCCCAGGAGCTCACCCTTGTGCATGGGGTATTGTGCAAGCTCATTCCTGGTTGGACCTCATCAGTTTCCCTTCTGGCCTTGTCGCAGGGTCTACCTGCTGTACCACACCTGGAGCCAGGTCCTCTATGGGGGTATTGCTGGAAGCCTCATGGCCATCGCTTGGTTCATCTTCACCCAAGAAGTTCTCACCCCACTGTTCCCCAGGATAGCAGCCTGGTAACCAATTCCCCATCCCTTCCTAGCTCCGTGTCCCTCCCTGCCCCTCCTGCAGGCATGCCCATCTTTGGAGAGCCCCGAGTGACCCAGTGTCTGGGCCTTTAGTGGCATGAGGCTATAGTGCCTACTCTCCTGGCTACCAAGTCCCCCAGGGCCTTATGGGTCTTTCAGGCTCAGCAGCCAGAGTGCCATCCTCTGCCCTTGCTTCAGCACTTAGAGACTTAGAAGTCAGCCAGAGTCTCGTGGAGCAGTGGAGACTGTAGGACTCCAGGAACTGTTGGGACATCTGGGTTGGTGGTAGGCTCATGCCCTCACCAATGCCCTGGCTTTTGGGTATCTGTTTCTCCAGGCCCATCTCCGAATTTTTCCTCATCCGGGACACAAGCCTCATTCCCAATGTGCTCTGGTTTGAGTACACAGTAACCAGGGCAGAAGCCAGGTGAGTTCAGGGCACAGTAGTCAACACTGTCCCTCATTTGGAAGGCTCTTCAAAAGTTAGATACTTAGCCAGGCGATGGTGGCACACGCTTTTAATCCCAATACTCTGGAGGCAGAGGCAGGCGGATCTCTGTGAGTTCGAGACCAGCCTGGTCTACAAGAGCTAGTTCCAGGAGAGGCTCCAAAGCCACAGAGAAACCCTGTCTCGGGGTGGGGGGGTTGGGGGGGTGGGGAAGGTGGAGCTAGATACTTGTTTCCATTTCTGAAGTTGATTCCATTTCTGAAGTTGAATTCTCCTGTGGTCTTAGTCTCAGAGAGGAGGAAGCCTAGGCTGTCTGTTAGTGAGGGAGGGAGGGAGCTGGTGATTAATTGCTGGCCCCATGTGTGCTTTTTACCCTCTACAGCCCAGATGCAGAGAGCCAGGCCTTGGGGTTTTCAGAGCTCATGAGTGTGGCCACCCTCAGAACCATTTAGCTTTGTTATCTGGGTAAGCTGAGGCACACTGAGCTGGACCAGCTTGAGGCCAAGTACAAGTTAGGGCAAAGCTGGACTTTGGCTTCTCCTGACTCACACTCTTCTAAACTCTTCCCCAGTCCCGGGTGGAGTTCTGAGGGGAGCTGAGCAGGCCAGGCTCTAGAGGAGGCCTGGAAGATTTTCCAAGAGCGGTAATAGGAGCCACTGGGCAGTGCAGAGCAGGGTGGTTGTTCGGCAGCTAGGCAATGTGTTAGGACATGAAGGTCTACATTATCCTAATGAGCTTAAGAGCAAAGCCTGGGATCCATGAGGAAAGGGGATTTGAGGGTTAGGGCAGGGCAATCCCATTAGCGACAGAAAGGCCCAGATGCCTCAGGCTCGGCTCTCCACCTGGCTCCCAGAGTGGCCAACACTGCCTGGCCCTGCTCAGCCAGCTGCCACCTGCTCCGTGTCAGGCTGTGTGCAGGGGACAGTGAGACAGCCATGCTCTCACCTTCTTGAGCCATGAGGATGGAATGCCAGTCCATGTGATCTCCGCTAAGGAGTAAAGCTTAGAGTCTTAGTGACAGGATCCTAGAGTAGAGCAGGACAGTCCACAGGCCTCCCAGGAGGAAGCAGACCTGAGCGATGCAAATGAGCAGGCCTTTCACAGTGGGCCTGACAGAGAGGCATCTGGGAAGAGGAACAGCATGCGTGCATGAAGACATTGTGAGGAGCCCGGGGAGTGTTAGAGGGCTGTGGGCCATGGTTACTTTCTAGTTCTACGGGTACCTTACACGAGCACTGTTAATTTTGAGCCTCAGCCAGCCCCTCTAGAGAACAGCGGTAATTCTGCCTGTGCCCCTCTAAGAAGGCCTTTGTCCCGGGCAGCCCCTTCTGTGTGCCTCTGCTTGCACCTCCCACCAGAAGAGCACCCCTCCTTTCTGTAGCTGGTCTGGTGGTAGCAGCAGAGCTCCCCACAATTAGTCAGGCCCAGACAAGTACCACTGGCCTTCCTTGTCCCAACCCCATTTTGCCATCCCCTGGGTCATCATGATACAGCTCAGCCTAATGCTGGCCCTCTTCAGGTTCCAGCCCGTGGCAGCAGCTCTGATTGGCCTGGCTCTGGTTAGGGTGGCTGTGGGTGAGCATTTGCCTGTCTCGTTAAGGCTGAGCAGAGAGGATAGCTGTAATACCAGGCACCCGCATGTCTAAGTCATCCCATTTTGCAGGAACAGACAACGCAAGCTGGGAACAAAACTGCAGTGACTGGCAGGTGTGGCTGGGTCAAGCCTCCGAATCTGGCCTGCACCATGCCTTGCAGGACTGACAGGATGATGGACAGAGGGTGAAGCAGGACCTCTACAGACCCAAGTCACCAAGTGGAGCCTTTTTTTTTTTCTTATTTTAATTTTAATGGACTTGGTGGACCAAAGGGCTTAGATAGGCCCTCATCGAGGACCCTGGCAGGGCCTGCTCTCTGTGGGTCATATGGCCAGAGGCCCCGGCTCTGCTGCTGCCAGCTCCTGACTGGGTGGAAAGTGCTCTTGGCATGGGCCCTGGGGTGGGTAGAGCATAGTGGCTCAGTCCTCTGGTCTGGAGACAGGAACTCCAGGTGGTGGAGTGCACACTATTTATTTTTTGGGATGGTGAAGTTCAGGCTGAAGAGGCAGCTCTGCAGTGGCTGCCCAGTGTACGGAGGAGCCCAGGTCAGCTCCCAGGCCTTGTGTCCTGAGCCACAGGTGGGGCAGCCTGCCTCCTGTTGGACCTGAGTGGGGCCCGGGGCCCATGAGTGAGGCATCCCCCGCCGTCCCTGCCACCGTTGCGATTCCAGAACCTTGTCAGTGTTTCCCTGTCTGGGGGCAGGGCCCAGAGTGAGCACTGTCCGTCAGCTGCTGTCATTGTGCTCTTCCCTATAGCGACCCCACATCACAAGGGCTTTCTCTGGTCCTCTGTCCCCAAGACAGTCATCCCTTCCCGACAAAAGAGCCTGCACAGATGGTGGGGACACCAAGCGTTTACAGTTCCTTTTGTCTGGCCATCCGGTAGCAAGCAGTCTGTCTTCATCCCACATGAACAAAGTAGAGGAGCCAGGACTCCGGCAGTGTGGCAGTGCTCATACCCTCCCCCTCAGCTGCCCTGTGTGTTCTGGATTTGTTCCTGCCCTGGAGGCTGGAAACTTGTGTGCACGTTGACCCTGGAGGCTGCCTGGGTGTGGACTCTCTGATCCCCACCTGCCCAGCTGCAAGGAGTCCCTCTTGGGGCCTCTCTCTGAGTTGCCCTGCCACAGCTGTGGAGATGCTTCCAGAACTGAAGCTGCCAGCCCTGGGGACTGTTGGAAGCCTCCCCCTTCTCTCTGTGGAGGTTCCTAGCCTGCTGCTGAAGCACAAGTCCTTGGTGCTTTCCTTTGTGTTTGTTAAAGGCTGTGTCCAAACCCGAGACACCAGGGCCAGGGCTGGTTTCTAGGGCGGTAGGTCAGTCACATTCCCTCCCTCCCCCTAGGATTTTTATTTTTTACTTTTTGCCTGAGACAAGCCAAGTGTGAGGTGGTTTAAGAAAATAAATGAAATTGTTTACTATTGTTTTAAAATAAAATCTGAAACTCTGGAGGCTGAGTACACATTAACTGAGCTCATGAGAGGAGGCTGGGACAGCTGGGGCATAGGTGGCCCTTTGGGACAAGGATATGGTAAGACCTCGAAGCATTTCCGGGATACTTGGCCCTTCCTTCTATCCCCCAAAGTGAGGGTTTGAATGACATCAACGTCTGCCGCAGGGCTTGTCAGCCTCTGGTGCCCAGAATAGTCAGGTCTGCGCACCCGTCAGACGCCCTCTCTGCCTAGTCTGGCTAGCCCTGGCCACGTTTCCCCACAGAACAGTCTGAGGACTAGGGAGTAGCTGCTCTTCACAGGGACTCCATGATAATCCCACTTGTTCTGTCTGCTTCAGGTGACTGTTCCGCCTTGACGTAAATGCCTGTTGCCAAGCTGGTGGCCGGAGGCCTTGCAGGACTGAGTGAGCACAGGCTGGCCTGGAGCAGGCAGGCAGTTTCCGTTCCCAGCAGGTTATGCCAAGGTGCACAGCACACCCTCTGGGTTACCATGTTCCTCACATGGTGGGAAGCTGGGGAAGCTTGGATGGGGGAGGGTAGGAGCTTTTTTTTTTTTTTTCAAGACAGGGTTTCTCTGTAGCTTTGGAGCCTGTCCTGGAACTTTTTCTGTAGAACAAGCTGGCCTCAAACTCACAGAAATCCTCCTGCCCCTGCCTCCCGAGTTCGAGACCAGCCTGGTCTACAGAGCGAGTTCCAGGACAGCCTCCAAAACTACACAGAGAAACCCTGTCTTGAAAAACCAAAAAGAAAAACAGAATGTATCTTGGACTTTTTTCCATAGTTTTTAAGTTACAGCAAGTCTTGCCTGGGCTCCAGCTCTTCTCTGGGGCCTAATCAGAACCCAAGGCCACACCCCTGATCCAGTTCCTTTCTGCATACCTACTGCCTACGGACAGCTGATGGGGCTGGGCTGGGCTGGGCTTCAGGATTTCTCAGATCTTTTCTGGCTTGGAGGTGGTTAATGTACCCTTGGGAGCCTGCCTTGGGAGCACAGTGACATTAGCTCCTCCAAGCAGGGTTCCTCATGTGAAGACTAGTAGTACATGTCACAGGCCTCAGGTGACCACACAGGCCAGTCAGGCCATGAAGCACTTTCAAGCACATGTGTACCCAGGGATTTGGGCAGGTGTCAGGGCTGGGACAGTAATGGCTCTGACGTGGTGGCTGCCTCCCTAGCCCACCTCTGGTAAGCATCTGCTCTAATGACAGGACCCTGTTTCATTACCCCTCCCGTTGAGCTCAGTGCAGGTAGCTGCTCCAGCTCTCAACCAGAGATGGCAGAAGGCGAGGCCAGGCATCTGTCCTCCACTTCCCCTCAGCTAAAACTCGTCGTCACCGGCACTTCTTCCCTTTATTGATCACCTGGGATATTCACATTATGCAACCATGAATGTAGTTCTGGAATCAAGCTGAATGGAAGCAAGAAGGCTGGGGCAGAGTCACCAGAAAGCATGGCAGCTGGGAGATGGCACCTGGAGATGGAGTGATGGAGACCAGGCCTCAGGGAAGCCGAGAGCCCCTTAGCGCTAAACCATTCCGACTGCTGGTCCTCGGGCGGTCACAGGTGAAGACAGACTTCAGCTTGACTGGAGATGTAGTGACTGGCCACGCTGTGAGACAGGATTGGCTGACTGGCTCTCTTCCCTGGGGCTCATGGTGGTGGGTGACACGTTGGGGACCTGGGCCTTCATCTTATTCAGCTTCTGAACTCAACCCTGGCGCTTGGACTATGGCAGGTGCTGAGGATAGGACCTGAAAGGCACTTGGCTGGCTCCATCAAATTGGAGGGCACAGGAGCCAAGGAACTGAGCCGTGGCAGGTGTCCATACAAAGAGGGCTTGATTGGACTGGCAGGCCCTGGCCTGGGCTCAGAGCTTGGCCTTGGGGTGGTTCTGCAGTAGGGTGCGCATGTCCAGCAGAGCTTTCTCCAAGTAGTGAGCCATGCGGGCAGCGTTAGTCTCAGCACAACTGTTGTAGGCTGACACGGAAAAGTTGATATGGGCCTCCATGGGGTTATAGCAGATGCCATAACCATCTGGGACCACAGGTCCGAAGAACATGACGCAGTCTGTCTTAGCAGGCACCTGGGGACAGCAGGTTCAAAGCTTTCATATCCAGGTCTGCAGTGGCCTCCTGCCCCTTGGTTGTACCAATCTGCCCCTCTGAACCCGCTCCTCCCTGTGCTCTTTCCCTCTCTCCATGGGCTGAGGGAACAGTGGTGCTCCCTCTACTCCTCTCGCCCCTAGTACTGCCCTGGGGCCATCATTGACACTGGGAGCTTCCTGAGACTACAGCTTGTCCCCAGCTGTGTTCCAGCACCCGGTACATGTTAGTTGGTACTGACCAATGAAAGAATGGAACAGATTCTCGTGAGAGGCCTAAGCCCTTCCCACCCTTGTCAAAGCAGTGTCCTTACCCCGAGCTCCTGCTTGGGGACTCAGTTGCTTTGACAATGTGGCTGTGGTGACCTGTGTGGACCACGTTACCCCTAAGAACCATCTGCCCATGGGTTCTAAAGATTATTTACATGTTATGTGTCTGCCTGAGTTTAGGTATGTGTACCACATGTATGTATGTGCCCACAGAGGCCAGAAGAAGTTAGTAGGTGGTTGTAAACCTGATGAGGGTGCTGGGGACTGAATTTGGGTCATCTGGAAAAACAGCGAGTGCTCTTGGCCATCTCTCCAGCCCTGCCCGTGGGCTCTATCATCCTGCCCTGGGGTACATGAGGCAGTGGCCTACCTGACTGGTAGAAAGGTTGAAGTGCATAGCGATGGCATAGGAGGTATCCATGAAGATGTCGGGCATGCTCACCAGGTCCTCAATGGCTTGCAGCTTCAGACCCAGCAGGTGCCGGTCAAAGGCCTCCCCTCGGATGGCCTGGGGGTGGGAGAACTGTAAGAGGGAGGTGCTGCAGGGTCACACCCTGCCCTCCTCAGGAGTCTGTGGTATTGCTGCTCCTTCAGCCACTGGTCTCTCAGAACACGAGGCCAAGGTGTCCAGGCAGAGGAGTCCTCACCTCCCAGATGGGGAAACTAGGGCCTTAGAGGAACAGAGAGCTATCCAGGGAGGCACAACAGTGCAGGACTTAAAACATAAGCCTTCGGGGCTGGAGAGAGGGCTCAGTGGTTAAGAGCACTGGTTGCTCTTCCAGAGATCCTGAGTTCAATTCCCAGCACCCATGTGGCAGCTCACAGCTGTCAGTGACTCCAGTTCCAGGGGATCCAACACCCTCACACGGACAAAACAACTCACATAAAATAAATAAATAAATCTTTTTGTTTGTTTTGTTTTTCCAGATAGGGTTTCTTTGTAGGTTTGGAGGCTGTCCTGGAACTCACTCTGTAGACCAGGCTGGCCTCGAACTCACAGAGATCTGCCTGCCTGTGCCTCCCGAGTGCTGGGATTAAAGGTGTGTACCACCAACGCCCGGCAAACAGTGACTAATTTTTAAATTTATTTTTATTTTGTGTGTATTGATGTTTTATTTGCATGTATGTCTGTGTGAGGGTGTTGTAAGCTGACATGTGGGTGCTAGGAATTGAACCCTGGTTCTCTGGAAGAGCAATCAGTGCTCTTAATCGCTTAGTAATCTCTGCAGCCCGGCGATATTAATTTAAAATGGAGAGATTCCCAAGGGCTCTACAGTTCTTATCAGAAATGGACAGGAAGGTGGACAGATAGATAGGCAGGGGCGGTAATGGACAATAAGGAAGGAAAGCAGGGCTCACTCACTCGGTCGGTGTAGGCTCGGTGGGCCTGCACAGCCTTCCGAAGCAGCTCCACCTTCTGGTGCTCCTGGGGGTGGGGTGGGAACAGAGCAAGCTGACTATTGTCCCTCCTCTCCCATGTTAGCAACTCACTCTGCACCCAGCACCACAGCAAGTGCTGAGCTGCCATCTCCTCATTCTGCCAGAAAGCTCAGAACTACGTTCATGGCTCCATCTTCTGTTAAGTTCCCTCTGCCCACTATAGGGCTGAAATACCATAGAGGTGCACAGAGGGAGCCGGCACAGCCCACCCACCCTGGTCCCAGACCTCTCACCGGCACAGTGGGCTCATCCATGGCTTTGACAAAGGCCAGTGAGTCCATGGAGGCTGAGCGGATGGTGTCGGTGCGGCCCAGGTGAAACATGCGCAGAGAGGCGCTTTCATATGTGGCACATGCCTGTCCATAGATCCTGGATGGGAGGTGGATCTCAGTGTGTCCCCTCTCCACAGAGGGCTGCCTGCACCACCCCCCTCTTCCTCTGGGGGCAGTGGTCAGGCAGGGCACACCTGTAGTATGCCAGCTGCAGGGCTATCTGGATGAAGGCATCAGGGCTTAACTTCTCTGACTTGGGGAAGTCCTTTCCAAAGTGATGGAATACCAGCATCATGATGTCCAGGTCCTGGATCATGCTGAGGTGGGGATGCAGGAGGCATGGGTGAGAAGCGGGCGCCTGGCGCCTCGTGGCTGGCCCTCCCCTACCAGGACGCAGCCATGCACTCACATGCTGATGTTCTGTTTGGCTTTCTCAATGTCATTCTTGATCTCAGGTGTTATGTTGAACCGCAGCTTCTTGGGCATGGGCAGGGGTACCATAGGGGACCGCACAAGCTCAGGCTTTTTTTCTGCGTGGGATAGGGGGGGCTTCAGGCTCATGCTGTTGTCGTTGAAACCCCAGTGTCCCTGGGACTGAGGTAGGGAAAATAAGTTCCTAAAGCTAGGGGTAGGAGGTTCAGAGATCAGGGCTTAGCTCTTTTGAAAACTAATTTCACCCCAGCTTTCTAGATGCCAGATGGAAGCCAGGTGTGGTGACACATCTAGTGTCCTAGAACTCAGGAGGTGGGTGGATCTCTGTGAGTTTGAGGTCAGCTTGGATCACTTAGTGAGTTCCAGAACAGTTAGGCTATAGTGAGACCCTGTTTCTTTCTTCTCTTTTTTTCCGTTTTTTTTTTTTTTTTTTCCTTTGAGACAAGGTTTCTCTGTGTAGTCCTGGCTGTCTTGGAACTC